GCCAAAGATATCTCGTTCTTGAAGCCTAGTAGCTTTCTGGGTAGTTAACGGATTCACTCCATTATACTTCTCAGACCTAGCCGAAGGTCCCCTCTTATATATCCTGCGAACAGGATCCGGTTGGACGGACGGCGGCGACGTATACGGTGTTATTTTAACACCTTCGATTCTGTGGTATAATACTCACAGGATGCAACTTGGATCAATATGTATGGTGACGCGCGGGCCCCGTAAGGGGGCCGGAGGGGGGTGTTGGAGACCTGAGATTTCGATTTCGGGATAGGTTACCCTACCTAGGGTGGTTCCTAGGTATCGGATCTCGGTATTCCTAACATTATTACTTTAACGAATATAAAATACCTTTACGATCTTTATCCTTATTGTAACGTTATCGTTACACCAAGGTAGGCGCTTTACGAAGAAGAGTTAGAGAAAGCTTACAATAGGTGTTCCCGATAGAAGACAAAGGTCTTGTACTATCGGTAACGTAGGCACAGACCTAGAGCTATCGTAGGACAAAGAAAGAAAGCGACAGAACCGATAAGTATCGTTCCCCATCGCCAAGAACTAACTATACAGAGTGGGATCGTTACATCTGCACGAAGTAGATCAACTGGAAGAAACCACAAGGGGAAACATGGGATTTGAAAACACGGACCAAAAAGAGCCCGATACAATAAAAGGAATTGTGATTAAAGAGATCACAGCACAGGCCATTGGATGGTACTATCGAAGTGGAGATACAACAGGAATTCTCAACTGGACATACGAAGAAGAAAAGGTGGTCCTAGTCAAAATCAACATCACCAAGGAACTAGCAATCTAGGATAGGAAATACCCAAGCAAAAAGGGACAGAAAGAATTTGTTCCAAAGGTATATCATCAATTCACGAACCTATTCCAAAAAGAGGAAGCTACCGAGCTACCACCCCGAAGACCAGGAATCGAACACGAAATTCAGCAGGACGAAGATGAAAAAACGGGAAAGATAAAAGAGATTTCCTACAAGAGGTTATACCCACTAGGGGAAGCAGAGTTCGAAGAACTAACGAAGTACATTGAGCAAAACCTAAAGCGTGGATGGATCAGAGACTCATTCGCATCTGGAGGATCCCCAATACTATTCATCGAAAAGAAAGATAGAAAAATATGATACTGCATGGAATACAGAGCCCTGAACTCGGTTACCATGAAAGATCGATATCCACTACCTTTGATTGGAGAAGCACTGGATACACTGCGATTAGCAAAATACTTCACCAAACTCTACATGAAGGACGCATACTAAAAATATACGTATCAAGGCAGGAGACAAATGGAAGACTACATTCGCCTCAAGATACTGAATGTTCGAATACTTGGTTATGCCCTTCGGGCTAACCAATGCACCAGCTTCATTCCAGACATGGATCAACACGGTACTCAATAAGTACCTCAACATATATTGCATCGTATACTAGGACAATGTACGCATCTTCTCAAAAACATGCAACAACACCAGAAGGATATCAGCAATATCATGGCTGCAATACAAGGATCAGGAATGCTGATCAAACCAACAAAATGCGAATTCCAGAAAGAAGAAACAGAGTACCTCATATTTATCATCAATCAAAGCAGGGTCAAGGTCGACCCTGTCAAAACACTAGCAATATGGGATGGGGCCAAACTGAACAACAGAACAGATATTCAATGCTTTATGGGATTCTGCAATTTTTATCAAAAATTCATAGAGGGATTCAGCAGGCTTGCAAAACCACTCTATAACCTAACAAAGAAAGACAAGAAATGGGAACCCGGAGAAACGGAACAGAACGTATATAATGCAATACGAACGCATCTAATATCAGCACCCATACTGGGTCATTTCGACTTAAACCGAAGAATAATGATGGAAACGGACTCCTTAAAATATGTGTGCTCAGGCATACTATCGCAACAATACGACGATGGAAAATGGCAGCCAGTATCTTACCGATCCAAGAAAATGACCCCCATGGAGTGCAACTACGACGTTACGAACCAAGAACTATTAGCAATAGTTCAAGCATCAAGGCAATGGAGGAGATATGTTTTGAACAACGACTATCCAGTCCAAGTCTAACTGACCATAAGAATCTGGTTCCGTTCATGACTACGAAAGAACTGAATGACCGCCAGATCAGGTGCATGGAACATCTTAGCAAATATGTCACGAATGTGGCTTAGCGAGGAAAGGGTTTTCACGTGACGCATAGTTATGAGTCACAGGTACGTATTGTTTCACACATATGACTCATTAGGGTCATATGATTTGTTATGTATGGGATTTGTGATGCTTTCGCACATGGCTCAAGTATGAGTCATGGGATGTGCGCCTGACAAGTATACCTTGCGAGTATGCCTTGCGGGTAAGCCTTGCGCATATGATTTATGTTTTGCACATGACCTCATTATGAGGTCATGGGTTTCGAGCATGTGATCACTTTGGTCACATGATTAGTTTGTTATGATTTGGTCTCGCACATGTGACCACTTTTGGTCACATGACTACTGGCGGGAAGAATGCTATATAAGGAGGCTGATGCGGCCGAGGAAGATAGGTTCTTCACGCTTTGTTCTAAGTACTTTTCCTACTTATTACTTTAACGAATAGAAAAACACCTTTACGATCTTTATCTTTATTGCAACATTATCATTACGCCGAGAAGTGCTCGTCACGAAGACAAGTTAGAGAAAGCTTACGATAGGTGTTTCCGATAGATGACAAAGGTCTTGTACTATCGGTAACGTAGGCAGAGGCCTAGAGCTATCGTAAGACAAACAAAGAAGGAGACAGAAGAGATAAGTATCGTTCCCCATCGCCAAGAACTAACTATCTAAAAGGGGATCGTTACACGGTCCACCCATTATGTAAACATCCAAAAAGTATATCTTTTGGTACACCTTTACCTTTCTAAACCATTTGGCTATGAACTCTTCTGCCTTTAGAATAATTGTTGGATTTAGAGATATTCCATCTGCACAGATACCTTTAATAACTGTAACAAACTCTCATGTACCATCTGATATATTGTAAGTACTTTTTCTTATCAATCTATTTTTAATATATACTAATTGAAAACTTACTTTAAGCACGATATTTCAATTTTCCATTCTCTCTTTAGTTTCTTATCATCTCTAATACACATTCTAACTGACCAAGCCCCAGTAGAAATCCAACGTCATCAATGTTATATGTATTTTCAGGTTTTATTTCATGCTCCCTGATAATAGCTTCTAACTAAATATATAATCCAGAGTGAATATTTAATTTAAATTAAAACTAATTCAACTTAAAGTTATAATAAATTTTGAAAACTTGAATAGAAAACTATATTGACATATGAAATTAAAAAAAAAAGATAATAAAATACGTCATCAAATAAGCGATTCATTAATTCAAGATTATTTCCACAAATATTTCTGATAAAGTCCAACTGTCAACTAAATTGTGTTTTCACCCCTGGATGCCTTTTCCTAAACCCCTCTTCCCATCTCTTGCCTAACCTGTCACTCGGATTTCTCCTTTGTACAACAGAAGTGGCAATTTCTCGCAATTGCAATATTGTCGGAGAAGTCCCCCACCGGCAGCGAAAGTAGCAGCACTCAATCACAATCCTCTCCTCTTCCGGCAACAGCTTTTGCCTTCATTGTCCCTCCACCTCTCGGTTTCTTCTTCCCTTCTGCCGATGCATAACCGTACTAGGTGCTGCCCCAACCATTGCTGCCGCACTTCGAAGGCTCAGAGCAGTTCCCACTGTGGCCATCTCAATAGCCATTTGTTCACGTACTTGGACTGGAACTGGGTTCTCGTTTGGCACCATTATTGAAGTACTCTGGATAAAGGAGATTTAATCTTGTATTTGTTGGTATGTTTACTCTAGATTTTGTTATAAAATTTCATTTACTGATTGCGCTAAAATGCCAAGTCTCATAGTGCCTCGCTGAGGGTGCTGCCTCGCTGAGGGCTCACCCGCTTTACTTATAGCCTGTGACAATTATCATTGTGGGGAGTAGGATAGTTGTGTGCGTAGTGATATCGTTGTGTTCGTGATAGTTGTTAAATGAGCAAGATGGACAATACTGGAGATTCTACCATATGTGGCTAGTTGCCACACAACACGCACTAGTCCAAAAGAGGGCCGTCTGATATCAATCCGGCCACGTGAGTACGGTACTTGTACTAGTACATACTCGAGTACCTCATGCATGACGACCTTGCCTGCACAACCACTCAGCCTCTACGAGTACGGTACCCTACTCGTATCTTGGACAAAGGCATTCGGTCCAGTAGCAGATGTTGAATTTGAGGAAATTGGGAGTAAATCTACGCGGACTCTCTCGTTTCTGTTATGGCCATACCGGGACTGCACTCGTACTCGTACACGGCCGCGCCTATTTTGCAGTATTCTGAGCACTATGCCACTCTAGAGAATCAAAGTTTTACTTGTCACTATTACTTGAATATCCTATACAAAGTACTATATCCGGACGCTTTGGCCTGGATTAATACCTGTCTTGGCACCGAGGCATCCGGATGCTCTACAGGGCATTCAGCCCTGGGTTGGGAAAGCATTTTTCGAGGGCTCTGCCAGATTCGTATTCAAGAAAGGGGTTACACACACCAAAGTCCTTCAACTCGAAAAGCTTGCATAAAAACTCTTCAACCCGGGATCGAATGCCCCCCAAACAAACGGCCAAGTACGTACTCGAGCAGTCTACCGGTAGTCTGCAGGTATGCTTGTTGAGGTTGGCCAGTCCCCAACCAAGCTCGATATTAAATTGTGATAAATAAGTCTGAGGCGGCTACCGAGGTGGTTGCGACGAGGAGCCTCCAATATGGCCCTAACCGCTTTAGGAATAGGGGTGAATGAGGCCTTCCCCTTTCGCCTCCGTGTCCTCTCGGCCGCCGTGCCCTTTGTATGCGCGCATGATGCTCTGTTCGTCCATTCTCTTCCTCCCATATTATACCTGAACCTCTTTCTTTCCACCACCCTAATCTGCCCCCCATTCAATGGCCGATAGATCTCTATTCGGTGACTCTGAGGGAAACTCGGATCAACCAGACGGAGAGGACTTCTTTGGCCAAATCCAGCAGCAACACAAACCGGATCAACAAGCACCCCCCAAGCGGGAGGCCGACGATGACTTGACGGCGCGATGGCAAGCGGCATTGGCTGGTGACGAATTATTGGCCGATTGTAGCGAGGGATTCCTGCCGAGTGATGATGAGGGGTTCTTGCCTGACTCTGATGATGAGACGCCTGTTCAGGAACCAGTTCACAGATCTGACGGAACTCTTCCGGGATTTTCTACCGGGAGCACCCCGCAAGCTCCATCGGCAGCTTCACGGTTCGCTCCGCAAGCACAGATTCCAACGCAGTCCTCCATTCAGCCACAATATGGTAGGACATGGCCGGCACAACAACCTCAGCAAACTCCTTACCCATATGCCCCTCCGCAGCAAGCCCTTCAAGCATCTCTATCCCATATCCCTGGCCCCCAACTGACTGCCCCATACTCTGCCTTTGGAGTTCGACCCCCACCAGCACCTGAAAGGAAAGCCCAGAGCTTTGTGGACAAAAAGGAGGGATACCAAAGTCCATATGATTTACCTCTGGACATAGGGCCCCCGGCGGTTAGGAAGAGGTCTTCTAATCGCCAGCAATCTCAGAGCACGATACCGACAGGAATGGGAAGTATGGTTGGTCAACCACCCCCAGTAAGAAACAGTAGTATGGGCACAGTCTTCCCCGCCGGAGCACCTACTCAAGCTCAACAGCCACAAGGACCTCCTAAACCAAGATCCGTGCCGCAGAAAAAGTTCTTTGAAGAGCTGCCCCTTATACCTCCAAAGCAGAGAGCAACCTCAGCGTTAGGGAGACATCCGGAACCAATGAATCGGGGCCCCTCCGGGGCTGGCAGTTATCAAGCGGCACCTCCGAGACCCGAGAGCACACAAGGATTTTACCACAGCCCACAGAAACCATTTGCCCAACCCCTCATGGGATCAGCCCAGCGGATGGACGCGCAGTTGGCTACTGCGGCAAGTAGGTACTCGCCTGCCCCACGAACGACTTATGGTATGTACACCGCACCTCCCCCCCCGGCAGCATCCGCAAGGTATTCTCCCGCATCGGGCACAACGATGGGTTACCAATCCCCTCCTAATACGACCCACCCTCCGGCCCCGGGTGCGGCCCCATACGCTTCACCTGTGAATGCCCCCCCAGCTGGTGGAGTCAAATATGCACCTCGGCCCGCAGGACCACCCCAGGTCGGAAATCGAGTTCCATCTGGTGGATTCGTCCCACCTCCACATCAAGCTCCAACCGCACAGCAGCCTTTGATGAGCCCGCCACCAATGACCCCCCAAGGCCCCTCGTATCAAGATTCATTTACGGCATCTCCGCCCTCACAACATCCCCATTCCCCGGAGGATCCATCTCATAGCCATCCAAGACGGCTCTCTGGCGAGCATCATGCTATGCACTCGTCGCGCCCAGGGACTGCGAGATCTGTGCAGGCTTCGGCAATGGATATACCTAGAGAAGAGGAAGAAGAAGGTGCAACTAACCCACCTCAGACGCTCCAGAATAATGGATGCCCTTCACAGTTGCCACAACCAGGCGTCCCTCCGCCTGCGCAAAGCCGGTATGCACCCTCAAGGGATCCCGGGAGAGATTCGCCCGCTAGTTTACCTTCGGTTACTCGCCAAAATACCTTTACACCTCCTCTTCCTCCTCCTCCTCCTCCTCCTTCAACACAGTCACCTAAGTATAATCCTAATGCGCTCCCTCAGAGGGCAATCTCTCCCGAAACTACCTTCCAGCCACCTCCAAGAGCACAAACCCAATCACCTGGCATGGCTTCTAAGACAACCCAAAGGCCAAGAGATCCATATGAACGACCTAGCTCTGCCTTCGCTCATAGTAGCTCTTTGTCCTATGGCTCCGTAGATTTCCACCGACGTCAACAATCTCTAGGGCATAATTTTATGGCGCCAAATGACGAGACTTTTCAAGATGTCTTGCAGAGGTGGCATGGTGCACCGGTGTTTTGTTGGGGGTTTGGTGGGAGTATCGCTTACACATTTCCTAAACGGGCGCAAAGGTATACTTCTGATATGCAACAGCAAGTGATCAAATGCTCTCCCGGAGAAGTCAAGATTAGAAGTATTAAGGAAATTTTGCCATTTGAGGAACCAGAGGGTAAATTTCCTGGACCAGCGTGGTCAGGTTCTAGGAGTACGAATAAGGCAAAGAAGAAGGAGCTAATGACTTGGTTCACTGACAAGATTGAGGATTTAGAGAAAAGGGCGCAAGGGGAAGGAACAAGAGCGGAGGAGAAAGTATTATTGTGGAAGATCGTCAGGATTCTGTTGGAGAATGATGGAGTTTTGGAAGGAAACCCAGAAGTTGTGAAGGCTGTCAGGGTTATCTTGTCACCGGAAACGGTCGGAGAAGAAGGCATGAGCGATCATGGAGCATTTTCTGCTGCGGGAGATATATCTTCGACCGCACAGGGCCCAAGTATTGAACGGGCTGATCCCCAAGCCGTCAAGACTATTAAGAATAATCTCCTCAAGGGTGACCGTGCAGCAGCTGTTTGGCATGCCGTGGATCGCAAGCTATGGTCTCACGCGCTGCTGATATCCGGGACCGTTGGTCGTGATTTGTGGAAGCAAGTAGTTCAAGAGTTTGTGAAGAACGAAGTCAAGACACTCGGTGAGGATGCAGACAGTCTGGCTGCTCTCTACGAAACATTTGCTGGTAACTGGGAAGAATGTGTTGATGAGTTAGTGAGCGCTAGCGCTAGGATGGGGATGCCGATGCTTGGTGGTGGTGCTTCGCGCAGCGGAAGCGTAAATATCGATGAGAAGCTTGGCCGGTGGAGGGAAACATTGGGCTTGATTCTAAGCAATAGGTCACCGGGCGATGTAGAGTCAATAATGGCACTGGGGAAGTTGTTGGTTGGATATGACAGAGTTGAGGCTGGCCACATTTGGTACATAATCTTTTTGTGAATTTGGCGAAAAGGGTTGAACTAATGGTCTCTTAAGCTATCTATTTGCTCGCAAAGGGGCCCCGGGTAGCACAGGATCTGTTTTTAGTGGACACGATGATCCGGCCGCTGATTTCTCGCTCCTGGGCGCAGATCACCGTCAGGCGCCATTTGGGAGAGACGCCGACTCGGTCATGCTTAGTGAGGTTTATGAACTAGCGGTGTCACTTTGTGCAACTCCGGCCCCAGGCTTTCCCCACCTCCAGGGCTATAAGCTTCAGCGTGCCATTGTCCTCGCCGAAAACGGGCAAAAGGGAGATGCACAGAAGTATTGCGACTCCGTCACTTCTTCCATAAAAGCCTGGGATAAACCTTCCCCTTACTTCCACTCCGGATTCTTTGGCGGGCTTGAAGACCTCTCTGCTCGCCTTTCCATGAGCCCTAAGGATTCGAACCCGAGTGCTGGCCACTGGATTCCGAAGTTAAGTTCGGATATAGTTAGCAATTCGCTCTGGGGAACATTTAATAAGTTTGTTGCTGGTGAGGAGGAGGAAACCTCGAGTACAGTCGGCGGTGAAGGGAGTATGATGGATGCTGTTGCTGGTCCATTCGCGAAGATCGCTGGATCCGGAAACGTAAGCCCTGAGATTAGTAGGGTTCAATCCGGTGTCGACCTTTACTCCACATACAATAATACCCCTAGCTACACCTCTGCTCCTCCGATGGCAGTTAAACCTGCCTCTCAAGCGGCAAACAGATATGCTCCAAACAACGCTTACCAACAAAAAAGCAGTCTCTATGAGCCTGCAGTGAATCCACGAGCTACTTCGGACACCTATAAACCTACCGGCTACGACGGAGGATACGAGCCAAGCTCTAGCCCCTACGCTCCACAACACCAAACAGTCAATCCTTACGACAGCCCTGTCCCCAGCTCCGTATCCACTGGATATCCAGGAGCATCTACATACGATTCCAGGAGCTCTTTCGAGGATACAGCATCGTTAATAACTAAACCAGAGGCAATGGAGAATTCGGCCTCCGAACCTCATCCACCCAGTGGCGGTTCTCAGCCTCCATCTGCTAGTGGATATGAGCCTCCATCTACGGGGTTTACCCCTTACGAACCGGGTAATAGCGACGGTGAAAATGAGGACGACAAACCTAAGCCGAAAAAGTCATTTATGGATGATGATGACGACGAGTTTACGAAAAAGGCTGCTGAGCAGGCAAGGAAATTGCAGGAAGAGGAAACCAAGAAGGCTGAAGAGGAAAAGAATGCTGCTCAAGGTATATTCCACTAATAACCCCGATACATTTGGGCACAGGCTCTAACTTTCTAGATGAAGGCAAGAAAGGTTGGTTTGGCGGTTGGTTCGGAAAGAGGGATCCTAACCAACAAGGACCTATCAAAGCGAAACTCGGAGAAGAGAGCTCCTTCGTCTATGATCCAGATCTTAAGCGTTGGGTGAATAAGAAGGCTGGTGATACTGCGACAGCTGCCCCGAAGCCGGCGCCACCACCGAAGCGGGCCTCAACACCTGCCTCTCAACCATCCTCCACCCCATCGACACCCGGATTTCCACCCTCGGGCACTTCGTCCGCACCGCCCACATCTGGACTTCACGCCCCTCCGCCCCCATTCGGAAGGTCACCAACTCCCTCGTCCATGCCCTCAACATCTGCGCCCCCGCCTCCTCTGGGGCCCCCTGCATCCACGCCTCCTGCTACGGGCCCACCGGGTGCAGGTCCTCCAAGTCGCCCGCCAACATCCATGAGCCAGCGTGCAACAACGGGAGACACGATTGACGACCTCCTTGGTCCCCCGGGCGCACCCGTTAGCAGGAAGAGCACGCCTGGGGGTGGAAAGAAGCGTGGGAAGAGTCGGTATGTTGAGGTTATTCCGGGGCGGTCGTAATTGGGTCAGATGATTGTGATTGGCACGTGATTGTACAAAAGTCTCTTTCCTTTTTAATGTGTGGTATGGATTAGGTGGGGGGGGTACCTAGATTTTCTTTTGTTCTGTATGTGATGGACGTGGGTTGCGCAAGTGCTCTTTGTTCTTAACTGGGTTAACTGCATTTGATTGGTAATCAAGGGCCTGTTTGGTATGTTTCGACATTTTTATGATTATACTTCTGAAAACAGTTTATTTCCTAATGCTCAAAGCAATCGAGCTCCGATGAAAGAGTCAAATACCATTGCGAGATAGGACATGCTACTCAACCTATTATGTGTGAATTAAAAGGCAGTACAAGTTGAGGAGTAAGGAGGGTGCCGGTGCTGCAAAAACATGATGGGACAATGCGGGAAATATTTCGTGATATTACAATCTTTCTTAATGTTTAGCATTCGGCTGTGTTTTCCTTTGCGTGAAGTGGGTAGTGGGGCACCTGGTGTATGACTGCGATATTAGTTTTTTGGCCCACTTTTGATAATATTATTAGGAAATACGCTGTCCTCAAACATGATGTGCACGCCGAACAGGCCCAAATTGTATTTTAACCGCCTTTTGTTTGATTTGGCTGGTGAACTAGGGTGCCGATAATGAGATGAGGAACCAACCCTCTCACCGCAGTATGATAGCGCGGTACTGTATGGTATAATAATGTAGTGTTGCCGACGGATTCTATCCCATCACAGTAATGTACTCGAGTACAGGTACAATTGAGTAACGGCAGGTCTACTATCCCTCCCTCATCCATAAGTAGCTCTCTCTCACCAGATCAACGCGACGAGCGTCCACCACAACCCCTCACTGTATTCAAAATATAACCGATAATCCCTCTTCTCAAAAAATGTCCTCAGAACCCCGAGCCGGGCAACCCAATAAAAAAAAAGCACAACTGAGATGGATATTCCCGCACCTCACAACCCCCACCACCACCCTGGAAGACTAAAAGGCTAGATCCGCACGCCGGGGGTGCTATAGAAGCGGAAGGCAAAAGCACCAGTAAGTCCACCGGCGGCGAAACCCCCACCGGTGTCACGAGATCCACTACCAAAGTAACGTGTAAGCTCCCCCTTCTCATCTCCCTCATCCCTAGCCCACCATGCGGCCCCACTGCTAGGTTAACACACCTCAGTCTCCTGGGCTCTCCTTAGAGACACAGTCAGAAATCACGCTGGTGTTGGGTGATATCTGGGAAACCGTGGAAGGGCTTGTAGACATATGCGAAGAGCTTTGTGCTCAATCGGACAGCCATGGTGGAGTTTGCGGATTCGCTGAATGTGGCTGGGTAAGTAAATCTGTTAGCTACAGTATGTATGGGTCCTTTCGGGTAGGTGCATAGCGGATACGGGGTTCCCTGATTCTTGGCTATCTCTCGTTTGAGGAAGGAGGCGTTGGGAAAGGATATATGGGAATAACGTCGGGGATTTAATAAGAGGTTCATTACCATAGATCTTTTTAAAAAAATAAAAATTAAAAAAATCGGTGTTGTGCTATAGTATTGAAAGCGGCTTTGATCCGGCATTGTTAAGGGCTCGTGAAGAAGCAAACCAGGGTGGGGGTTTATACTCCTAGCAAATTTCAATATGTTATGATACGATACCCAAATGTCCATCTGGATCACCGGTTGACCGATTTGCAAGTGATTACTCATGACCATATGAACTCGTACTATCCATTGTTATAGGGAAGTTAATCGAATAGTTGATTGGGTAGCAAGAGGAAAGTAGGCGGGTGTAGCCTTAGTTGCCGTGGGATAGGAGGGAAGAGGTGGAGAGATGAGAGTCACAGTTGCTCAAAGGACATTGATAGTTTGGTTCAAAGATGGAGAGATGATCATTTCCTCTAAGATCTGAAATAGCAAAAAGGAAAAGGAGCTCCTTCCCCTGAAAGCATGAGAAACCCGCTCCACCTTGACAACTGGCCTAGTTAGGCGACCAAGCACTAACTTTCCACCTATATCCAACACTAGAACCCGAGGTGCGTCATCTTCTCTATGACATTCCACCAGGGAAAAAAAATAAGTAGTTGGAAATATTCAATAACGCCCATGGACGATACTATGCGCAATCTGTCTTCGATGCAAATGTCCTAAGCACCACTTGGCGCCAGCATAGAAGCACGTCGTAGGTCAAGTTCCCTAGAAATGAGTTATATTGCTCCTGTATATCTACCCCCTCCCATCTATCCACCCGTCCATCACCGCATCCACCTCTGCTTCGCCATAACTAAGTCTTTACATCCTCAAAACCGCGGGAAATAACTCTTCACCTCCAAACCATGATCACCTTCAACAGTGGTCCGGAACGCCAGGCATTCGTCTATATTCCTCCGGCTCGAACAGCTTCGAGACAAGAACAAACACGCAAGACAAACCAAATGGTGACAGTGACTGTAACCCCCCCGCCCATTCTGAAAAAAGCCCAATCCCACTCGCTAATAACCGAAACCTAATAGCGCCCCGCCCACGCCTTGGAGAGAGACCGTCGCAAAGTGCGGGCGGATGTCGCAGGAGATTGGGGAAATCTCCACGGAGCTTGAGAGAATTGAGGTTGGGCTTCGAGGTCAGGTGGAGGTGTTGAGGGAGTGTGCAGATTCGTTAGGTGTGCTCAGGCGGGTCGTCGGTTTAGTTGGGTTTTTTCTTTCTTTCTCGAAGTGGATGGTTGGGATGGAACTTGTTTTATTGTTGGATGATCTGAGGGGACTGAGATTGACACTTTGTTAAGGAGGGTAGCCGTAGAAACGGGATTCGCTGAATGAACGCCTGCGAGATGTGGGTAGTAGAGGAGGGGTAAAGGGACCAATTATCATGATAGCTCGGAAGTGTGATAGTTATGATAATATCATATCATACCAACAACTTCATTCACACTTACCGTTAGGAATCAAGTATCATACTCGAGTAGTATTATCTAGGGTTAGAAACCCGGGGAACCCCACTTCACTCCACCACAGCACCGAGTGATTCACTGTGTCAAGAACCTTAGATCCACTCCACTTGAAAGACAAGACCACCTAGGAGGTATTAGGTCACAACATAGAAAATACGAATACCATTCGGTGAGGGCTTTCCTCACCACACGAATCTTCGGACAAGCCCATTTTATCATACCAGGGTTCACCTCGCCCGTTCCACAACCCACCCTTTATTTCTGCTTTGGCTTTTCTCCATAGTTGTGGTCACTGCTCGGCCGGTAGAGGACAAAGCTATGATTGGAAGAGACAATCAGACAAACCGATATATGGAGCAAACAACCCCCAATATTAAAGTGGCTTCTACCACCGCATCCTGAAGAAACTACTCCCACTCCTCCACCACCACATATATACCAAAAAACGCCTCCTGGAAACTGCACTCAGTCAAACAACAAAAAAAAAAAAAGATGGGAATTACCCACTCCAGCCTACTACCCCTACCCCCTTACAAAACGCCGCACAAAAGAAAGCACTCCACACTCCTCCTCAACCTGATCCGCCTCCAGCACCTTCCGCACCTCCTCCACCACCACCGCGGCAGAAAAAAGGGCTACAATACCACGACGACCCTTCACGCCCTCACTCACCTGCGCAACGTCATGACGACGACGACGATAATGCTGAGCACCGACCGCGGGCTCTCGCCGGAGCGTGACCCGGAGCTGCGCGCTCGCTTTGTGCACTTCCTGGAGCGCGCGGAGGACTTCTACGTTAGGGGGTGCGAGGAGTGCGTTAGGTATAATAGGGCGACGGGGTGGTACGATGTGGACCACCAGAAGATGGCTAGGGGCATCGAGGTAATCTTGGGCGCGTTTTTGGCCCTGATGGAGGAGGTTGGCGAGTGAGAGGTCGTGATTTGATTTAATTTGTTGGATTTTTATTTTGTTTTGTTGGTAATACCAATTACTGGATCGGATTGATTATAAGCTCTTGGGCGGCATGTATCCTAAATCTTCTTAATGTAAGTTAAACTTATCCGAGCTGAAGCCTGTCGTAACAGCGGTGGCAAATCAAGGGAGTTTTGCTAGGGTTGGGAAACTTGAAGTCTGACGAAGCCGGAAGGCGCAAGGTGAAAATCTCATGCGGATACGCTCACCGCAGAATCTGTGCTGTAGGCAGCATAGGGAAATACCGTACCCCCAACTCCACTGTTATGAGAAGGCTTGAAAGAATGAAATAGTCACATAGCAGCGCACATGCTCGTTCACACCGGTGGTCGGTGCTAGGCTGTAAGTTACTTGCACATTGTCGGGTTACTCGTCTCAACAATGTGCCAAGGGATTGTAAGTATTGTCGCTAACTAGTAAGCTAGATCCTCGTATACCGTGTATGTAGCATACCCGTACAAGAGGAGAAAGGAAAGGAATATGAAAAGAAAGGAAGGAAGGAAGACAAGAGAGGACGAAAAACTCCGATCAGTATCCTATCCTAGAAATATCAGGTCGGGGTTCTCCCTAGCCTATGTGCACAATGCCGTATGATACCTAACCCTGCTCGGGACCACCACATACCACTAACGACTTCCAAGAAGCACGGGCTCAACACGGTGCTCATACTGCGCGACTTTCAATATTTGGTACGGGTTAGAAGATAGGAGTGGGGAGAATAAGACACGAGAATCGGCCCCACCCATTCATCCGCCTGTGAGCGACAAACCTGGTAATTTGACTCCAGGAACGCATGGTCATGACAGCAATGAGCAAACATAATCCCATACAATAGGAAGAACGTCCGAGAGGAAAATAAGAAGGGTAAAAAAAAAAGTATGATAATATCATTGTGATACGCCTGCACGAGCGAGCGAGCATCATATCATACAACAGGAAGGAAAAGGGAGGGAGAAAAAAAAAATTAACCCGGAAAAACAGGGAACGCTCAATCCAGTCAACGTAAAACACACCCGGTTAGCCCCTAATTCTTCCGATACGACAGAGGAGGCGGGAGAGTTGGTGTGAGTACTGATAACTTGTAGGGGTTTCAGTGGGGAGGGAGCGTTTTTTTATTTTGGGGAAAAAGGGGAGTGAAGTGAGGGAAGGAATGGAAGTGTGAGAGAAAGAGAGAGAGGGTGCGAAAAATAAAAAATAGAGGTCAAATACCGCATAAATTGATTAAACCCGAAATCGCGCTAAGCACCAATGCGATGAGGGGAATAGAGTGTGGCGTGGTGATGGGGGATAGCAAATATCAGCGAACACCAGAAAGAGCCAAGCGATTACCCATGATGGCACTCATCTCGGGTTTGTAGGATCCGTGTTCTCCAATATAATTTTAACTGAGGATACAAGTCAGAGAGACTTGAAGTTGAGATTAGGAGTTTTCAGCCTCAGCCTCAACCTCAACCACAGATCTTCTGCGCCACGCAATGTGGCAAACTCTCCCTACCTAGGGGGCATTAGCGCGGTTTGGCTTTGATCAAATTATGCAGAAGCGCAAGTGTGCATGTGAGTGGGAATAATGTCCAGTCGGTCTTGCCCTTCTGTGTTGAGGTTGCAAGGGGATTGATTAATCCGCTATAGTTCCGGTACAGGGACTATGGTACTCGTTAGGTAAGGTACTCATAGTCTGAGGAGGGAAGGGACTTCTTTCTATTCGCTATTCGTACAGCGAGCGTGTACTCGTACCGTATCGTACAAGTATCAGTATGCTAGGTGCTATGTCCAGCCGTGAGACCTGCCCATTGCCTAGCGTTTCCTCACACGCTGTCATTGCGGTGGGTAGATCAGAGCGGGAGAAATCGGATTACAGTGGAGTCTAGGGATTTGTATGGGCACGGTGGATGTCTCCGTGTGAAGTCTCTTGTACTCGAGTATGCGATGGTAACCCATGGAGCTACCGTATTCATTTCTCTTTCTTTTCGCTACTTTTCCAACCCAGTCATTCCTTCGTTTCTCAAAAACATGCAAAATATCTCCCTTAACTTATGGTAACCCCTCAATCCTATTGTTCTTCTCCTTCTCCTTTTTGTTTTGAACCTAAAAATCACTTGCACTAACAGTGTTTTGCGTTTGTAAATCTAGGGCTAAGCCCTAGCTCGGGCTAGGACAGTGTGGCTGGTTGATACCTCGGTTCCCAGCTAATGATAGCTTATGACAGCTTGACATGGGCTATTAACTTATAATAGTGTGAGCATCATACAAGTGCTATGATGTGCGAAGCATTTGAAGAGTGCGTCAACTTCCAGCCAGCCATGGGTGATTGAGCCGCTAAAAATTTGACAGCACTTCAGATGGCCAGTGTTCAAGTATGATAGCAGACTTAGGTTGGCGGGGGGTTAGTTTTTCATTAGTGGCGTGATTAACGATTCGATGTGTGGCTTACACGCATGATCTTTCCAAAAGATGGCTGACACCAACGTTGTTGCACAACGCTCCCGGTCTTCCAGTGCGCTCGGGGCTGGGTGAGGGATGACAGAGGACGAGACATGCTTTGCCCTCAGACGGGGGTCAAGACGGGGGGGGAAGAGGACCGTCGACTGTGGACGACTAGAATTGGCCAATGCGTCCAATAAGACGCACACCACCGTAACCAAACACAAGAAGATGAAAAATAAAAACAAAAAAGACTGTGTGTAGAGACTTGATGGATTTCTACAAACCCAATAAGGTAGCAGAGAGCGCCCGTACTGCACATGCGGCGCTGCGCTGAATGGCCTTAGCACAGGGTTATCTGGGTACGGCGTGAGTGCAAAATGATAATCGACTCGAGTATTTGAACTCGAGCAGGGTAGTGGTGCCGTATATCATCCGGCACCACGACTATCGTGTTCATAAGGGAGTTCCTTTGGTGGAGTTGTCCCGGCGTTCAATCTGGCCCGTTGTATGATACAGTACCCTGCGGGTAATTGCGATCCAACTCCTCATCATGTTTCGGCTACCGTTTAATCGAAGCGCAAGGTTATTTGTTGGGGGTGAGGCCAGGACCTTATGCCAGGGGGTCACACTGCGGGAGGCAGCAAAGCACGGTGGGCTAGCGAGTGAGTAAGTGAGAGAAAAACAACCTGGTTAGCTAGCGTGGCCTTTTTTCATGCGGAGATACTCGAGTCTTCTCCTGGATGAAGTAAAACTGTAACGATTCCGACAGGTAGGCACAAGGAACCCGATACAGGTCCGACAANNNNATAGGTCCCTAAACGTCACGGTACCTTTATCAGCGACACGTCGAGACAGTATCCTCCGGCGAGTTTCCCGTGATGTCGATGGACAGATGTGGATTGGATACTGGGGTTTGGGAGTTTGGTGAGGGGTGGCTTGGCAACCCCAGCTGATTGTATGACATCCGTTTATGATTGGAGGGACCGCTGCTCATGAGGCTTTTGAGAGTCGGAGGAGAGGGGTGGGGGGAAGGGTGGGGAAGACCGATTTTTCCGACACAAACAGCAATGATGACAGATGTGCCGTGAAAGTCACACAAGTCCTCCGGCCCCAAAGTAAAATACTTCCGACTGTACTCGTATAGAAGCACTTGCTAGACAAGATTCCCCATTTGTGTGTTGAAATATGCCTTGGGCGATTGGCCCCGCTAACGACAGAAATCGCCCGGGTCACCGTACCGGCCGGCCTTTCGCGAGGTAATAAGTTCGAGGTTCTTGCTCCTCTCTGATGGGCGATTGCGGTGCAGTGCAACGACGGCACCACGCATGTTCTTTGCGTGGAACTTATCGCGAGTGGTTCTCCTCTCTTGGCCTTCAGACCGGTAGCCCGGATGGACAGGATTCGTCTTGTCCAAGTTTGATAATTCGACCCTAGCGTACTGCTCGAGCACAGTAGGGTCGCTGGTCACGAGACTGCGCTCGATAAAGTATGGTGCTATCCAGAGTCAGATAACTAGTCCTAATATAACAGTGACTTTACTTCTTTTGACAATATATTTGGCCTATGATATCACTCAGCTAGAACTTTTTTTTTCTATAATTATCAATTGCCAACCCTCCCCCTCCCCCGAGGCCCGCACGAAATCTGCCCAACCTTGAGAAGCTATTACAGCAAGAACCGCCTCTCTGGAATGGAACACACTCGTAAATGTCTTCTTCTCATGATTTGGGATTCTTATGGGGAATGAATAACCAAAATAATACTAAATGATGTCCTCCGTCAAAAAAGTTGGGAGAATAAAGTTACCGTTGCCGTGGATAGGCATCACTCGCGAAGGCTGGTTCAAGTTGCTGGTTCCGTAGGGCATTCTTTTCCTGGGCATCAGCTCCACGCTCTCTTCCCTCTTCCGGGGACGAATTGGTCTCACCAGTCCCCAGAATCATGGCGAGTGGGCTTTCTTACTTTACTGGGCTATCGTGAGGTCCTAGGTTTCAATGGCGTGCTTAAAACCACGGAGAAGGCTCACGCATGATACCATAGACAACAGTGCACGGTGTCTCTTGGAAAGAGTTTTTTCTTTTTCTTTCTCTTCTCTTCTCTTTCTCGCTCTCGTTCTTTTTTTGGCGAACCTTGCCTCTGTTTCCATGAAGAGGGGCCCGCGATCTCTAGGCTAGATACGTTGATATGATGTTGGAGCGCCAAAAATTCCATAATCACATGCATGCGAGAGCAGTGCCTCCGGATTACGGTACAGTACCCCATCCAATCCATGGTTTCGATTTCTGCCAATGCTTGGTAGTACTTTAGGGATCCAAAGTCTGAAAATATTCTTTTCCTTCTTTGGCCAGCATTTGCGAATAGCAAGAGGATGTCGGAAATAATTTGTGAGGGTATTCCGAGAGTAGAGTAGCCAGTTATAATAGGAGGTACCTGAGTAAGTATCGGTATGGCAGGTACTGCTGCGCAATTTTTTGCCCCACAAAAGCGGAGAGGGTTGGCCGGGGCTTGCTCTGAGACTCTGGGGAATCCCGATTGTGGGGAGGAAAAGATCCAATGGAATGTCAAAACAGAACAGGGATCGATAAAGCTGGATCAGGGAGGGGGGAGTGGGAGGGGTTATGATCGAGAAGGGATGAAGGAGTGCCAAACCATACTTGGAATAGGGGATTGGAAACGATAAAAGTGTAATTCCAAAGATTGGATGGGTGGGTGGGTAGATGGGTGGATTAGGAAGGGTATGATCGACGTCAGGATAACTCTCCTCGAGCACCGTAGGGGAGTTGAGTGTGGTGTACTCGTAGACTACCGCAGTAGACTATGATACTCGCAGGCAGCAGTGGTGGTGTTGAGGGGGCTTGAGAGCTCATGGTGAGTGAGTGGTGCCTTAGGGTGTGGTTGTGGTGGTTGTGGTAGGTTAGCTGGGAGGGAAGTGGAGGAGCACCGTGGAGGGAATTTGCTATGGTGCTGCGTGCTGTGCTCGAGTACTCGAGTAGGTGGAGAGGGTGGATAGCTTCATCATAAGCTACGATATGATAAATTACAAGTACCGCAGTTGGCATCGGGAAGCGGTAAGGTTTGCCTGCGCGAGTAAGGCAGGTAAGCTACGAGTACGGTAGAATTTATACCGCTATCACACAAGGGAAAAGGTGCAGTCTACCGGCACCCGGGCAGATTCCGCAGTTTTACAATGAGGATGTGGAACTGAAAATGGAATAATGGGCGATGTTGGCCCTTTTTACTGACGGATGCATGTCCATTGTGCCAATTACCACCCACCACTCTTCTTCCCCTTTGGCTAATTTTTTCCACTTGGTTAGAGTCCAAAATTGACCTTGAACGGAGTGATTTTGGTTCCGCTCGACCACCGCCCCTCGTCTACTCAGCTATATACATGACCTCTCCCCTCCTCCTGCTCCCTCCGACTTTGCTTACGCTTCTCACGCCTTTACCTTCAACCTTACAATATCGGGGGCTTCTGTTGTCGTGCCGAGTGCCATTCAGCCAAACCTCAACATCAAACTTATCTACACACTTCGAACAATTCTTCCATTACCACTCGCCGAGAACCCTCCGAGAATTGCTGTCTCACATCAACATCATTAGCTATGGCCCTCGCAGGCACAACCGCCACAGCAGCTGCTCCCAGTTCTGCTATCTCTGCCACCACAAATTTGGCACCACAGCCAACTACTGATAGTAATTCTGCTGTTGCTGGTCAAAAGAGATCCGCTGCAGCTGCTGGGAACACAAGCGGTACAAACTTCCGCCCAGTGAAGCGTCGAGCTTCAAAGGCCTGCCAATGTTGTCGAGCCAGAAAAGTGCGTTGCAACGTTGTCGAACACGGTGCCCCTTGCACAAACTGCAGACTGGATGAAGTAGAGTGCATCATTACCGAGAGCAGACGAAGAAAGTGAGTAATAAATAAGAAACCCTGCTTCTGAATCCCTATTTACTCCGTCATCTCTCCAAACTTACGCTCTTGTTCAGAAAACTCTGGGGTACCAAGGTTGACAATACCGGCTCCGCCTCCGATACCGGTGCCGACACCACCGCCCAAAGGCAGACTAATGCCTCACCACCAGAAAGGAAAACTAGCCCCCGTCGTAAAAACGAGACCCATATTTCGGGCTCTCCTTCGGCAATGCCAATTGATCTTCCCTCCGACAAGGAGAGTGGTGGCCATGTGCCTCATCTGATTTGTGCGTTCAAACCATTTGTGTATTCAAGAGAAAAAAAAAAAAGCCACCACCCGAATCCCTTCTTACTTTTTCTTGTGTAAACAGACCAGGCGCAAGGTCTGCGAATGGGGTGTGACCGTCGGGCATCTTACGCATCGTCTCATGAATCCCTTCCCTCTTTGGCGAATTCTCTGTCCACACAAACTTCGTCTTCGTCGTCGCATCCACGCAGATTGTTTACCATCCCTCAAGCTTGCATTGAACTGCCGGCCTTTGTCAAGCCTACTCCTATAAAGATTCCGCTTGATGATTTGGAATACCTAACAAAGAAGGGTGCGCTAACACTTCCGGAGGAGCCCCTGCGGAGCGAGCTGCTTCGGAGCCATTTTGACTTTGTGCATCCGTACATGCCGGTGTTGAACAGGAAAGAATTTTTGAGAAGTGTTACCTCCGACGATGGGAGCAAAGGGAAAATCAGTCTGTTACTTTTTCAGGCGGTCATGTTTGCTGGAAGTGCAGTGCGTTTGCACCTTCCTCTTCAGAGTAGATGGTGTGACTAACCGAACTTCCTAGTTTGTCGATATGGAAAGTCTTCGTGCTGCTGGATATCCAACACGCAAAGCTGCTCGGAAGGCATTCTTCACAAAAACCAGGGTATGTGTAATCACTCTGCTATACCCGGGTATTTCTAACCAATGCGAAAAGGCGCTTTACGATTTCGACCATGAACAAGACCGGATGTCACTCGTTCAAGCGATTTTGCTAATGACATATTGGTATGAGACACCAGACGACCAAAAGGATACATGGCATTGGATGGGGGTTGCTATTTCCCTTTCACACACAATTGGCCTACACAGAGACCCGGCAAACTCGAATATGGATCCCGACCGCAAGAAATTATGGAAGCGAATTTGGTGGAGTTGTTTCATGCGGGATAGATTGGTGGCATTGGGAATGAGGAGGCCAACAAGAATAAAGAGCGAGGATTGCGATGTGCCGATGCTTACACTGGATGATTTTTCAATTGATACAGGCCCTGATGGTGAGGAGGATTCGATGTTCTGGAGTTATGGGGAAAGGCAGAGGAAGGAAATGGAGTCGCGCCGACAAAGGGAGCTTGCAATCCTGTGCATTCAGAAAGCCAAGTTGTGTAAGGTTATCAGTCGGGTTCTTTCCGCACAATACTCAGTATTGAACACCAACCAAGGAAGTTTAGCGGCCGACGGAAGCACCAGGACCACTATGATGCTATTGCCCAAAAAGCTAGATCCTGAGTGTTGCCAAGTGGAGAGATGTGATGAAGAACTGGCTAGGTGGGTACAGGAGCTGCCGGAGGAAGCGATCTATCGGCCAGTTGGCGTCAACATCCCGATAGACGAGGTCCTTACCCTGCACAGGAATCTTCTTCACATGTGTTACTAGTGAGTCACTCAAACGTCCGGGTCAACCTTTAGAATGATAGCGATGATTGATTATTTCTCTGTAGCACAACTGTCAGCGCTCTTCACAGGCCCCAGGTTCTGCCGTCTGCACCAGCGCCTTGGCCGGCACAGCGCAACAGTTCTGAGCTTCAGGAGGTTTCTCGTAGAAAGGTTCGACAAGCGGCCTCTGAGATTACTCATCTCGCGGAGGAGCTGGTTGACTTGGACCTCGTCAAGTACCTTCCAACCACCGGGTATGTGGGAACGAACCACTCTATTTTTTTTTTTTTTTTTTACACCTTTACTGATAGAACCACAGTGTTACCGTAATGCTTCCGGCGGTGATTATCCACTTGCTCGACATTAAATCGTCAAATGCGTTGACGAGGGAGCTTAGTTTGGAGGGATTCGGCCTCTGCATGCAGGTTATGCAAGGGCTTCGACAATCATACTCGGCAGCCGACTATGCAACTCATTTCCTGGAGGCTGCTATCAAGAAGGCGGAAATTCAGGTTGCCGGTCACAAGAAGTTGAGTCAAAGGAGAAGAGCGAGATACCACCATCACTTTGACCACCTAACTCCGCAAAAGCCCACGGCTATCGGCTCCCCACACAGCACACAATTTAGCGGCAATGCAATCGCAATCCCTGCCTCCGCTCCGCCGTCCAATGCAGCGCTCACCCCGCCCCCTGACATTGAAAATACCAACATGCCGGATGCTACACCCCTGGATGAGAATGAACTCCAGCTCAAATTAGAAACCTTCCTCCAATCTCCATCATCTCCAAAACAGGACGATCACCAGGCCCCAACCCTGCACTCACTACCCCAGAATTCTGCGGCCACTTTCACAATTGGTAGTAACGGTGTGCTCCGAGTCCGCGAGGAGCTCTTATTCCCTTCGGAAAGGTCGGCCCCAATGACACCATACCTATCGGTCCCCCGTGCTACCGACGACGAAGACAGAGACCTGGGCGCTCTGCTCAACCTCGACGGCCAGGATAATGACCCGTTCTTTGGACACTACGATGAGGCGCCGCTGGTGGGCCAGAAACGCTTCGATGGTGGTACCAGAGCATTTGACCTTGTCGGGAATTCAAGCACATGGCTAGAGGAAGACATGTCCAGGATCCTGGATGGCGTGGATTTCGATATCGATGACGTTATTCAGGTTTTGGAGACGGAGATTAATTAATTGATCAGGCACTTCATATTTCCCACTTATTGTCTAATAACCGTTCTTAGTATCCTTTTCCGCCCTCTATTTTTTTCTTTTCTTCTCTTTTCCGGTTTGGTTCGCGTGGGATCTACCTACAATCAGCCTATTACGATACCATGGCACAGCAGGGGGGCGAAAAGCTTTGTTGAACGACTGGGCCGATAGGAGTGATGGTGTTTTTTTCTTCCCGCTGTTCTTTTGTCCTTTTCGTATCGTACCGGTACCGGTACCCACTCTATCGCATTTTTTTTTTCCCAATCACGTGTATTGTAACCTATGACATCTTGTATAGTATGACAATTTCCCTCTAGTGTATACATACCCAAGCCGGCCGATGCTGCAATGGCAATAAAAAAGCAAAGGGTTCATCAAGTCGCTGTGATTACTCGCGTGCTTCTGCGCTCACCCACCATTTTTGTGATGGTTCGATGCACGACAAATTTATAATATATCTTAGCTTCAAATCCGTGTACTCGAGTAGCAGAGCAGTCGCGGGCTCCACACTTGGGATGTTGTGCAGATATGTTCAATTCACTAGTCTCTACTCGAGCACTCTACTCGTAGAGACTGGCAGGAAAGATTAATTCGAGCGGGAGCTGGACCGATTCAAAGTTGGTATGGGGAACCGGGCCAGCAGCGAATACTAGAGTACAGTACCGGTACCCTCAGGTATGATACCGTACTTGTAACAGGGCACGATGCTGACTGTAACGAGAAACATCTTGGCATTATTCTTTCCGATTAGGAGGCTAATACGCATATCACTGCCGCATCAGGAGACGATGAATTAGCACAAATGGCCGATTTGTAATTAGTTCCCGGAACCGTCCCACCCTCTGATCCAATGCCGCAAGGGGGCGGGAGTAGGGTTGCGCATCGGTATACCGAACTCGTGCACCCCCCCAACCTTTGCGGGGTCCACCGACTGCGAGCACCGCATCGAGCATGACATGTCGTAGACTATCGTATGAGGTGGGGTCCCCTTGTTCAAGCGCAGAGGTCAGGCCTTTGTCCACTAGGGGTCCAAGTTTATCGGCGATATGCTCGACGCACCATCCTTTCGGCCATCCACACTCCGCTCTTCTACGGTACTCGTACATATCCGATGGATATCATATCATAGTTCAGCACACCCTATTACACGCTGGAATGCCCCATGCGCAATTATCGGGGACAGGCATGATCTGTATGGAACCCCGGTCTCATGACTTCTAGAACGTTACGCCCGGACTTTTTCATATTCGCATGTGAGAAGCCCCTCTCCCACTTCCTCATCCCCCGCCAGTATTCAGCTATGAGGGAACTCGAGCAGGGCGCAAGGCAGAACGAAATCGAAGGAAAAAAGAGTCGACGACCTTCGAGCGATGTTTTCAACACCAGGACGATACTGTGCAACTCCTGGAAGGGAAAACGGACTGAAAAATGAAAACGTTCTCATCAGATGCATGGCCAGAGAGCCCAGGATTTCCGTGCATACCAACATCACGTCACGACAATACGAGTGTTAGACTACTCGAGTATGATATGCCCCGGCCGTTCCAGATGCCCTCATGCGTGCCACCTTCCCCCTCCTCACCCTCCCACACCCACTCACGCACAGTTATTATCGTTTTCTTGAGAAGGGATTTTTCCCTAGTGCGGGTACTCGAGTACTGGTACTGGTAAATTTCATCCCTTTATGATGTGGTGAGCTTTGCTGACAGCGGTACCAGTACCGGTATTAGGAGGATGCAGTGTGCGGCAGTCTAGGTCCTGTTGATCACGAATCGAATTCCACAGCTCCTCAATCACATGAAAGGGAAAAACAGCCATGTCAAGTAAGTTAAGCTCTCCGGAAAAATCATTTCCCCGCACTTTATCTCATACCAAGGTAGGTAGGTAACCTTGACCACATGCGAAATCCGTAGTAGAAAAATAATCGCAGACCCAACCACCCCCACAATTTACCGTCGTTTCCAACTCCGTCGCCGTTCTTGAGTCGCAGATTTTATCAGGGTTTTTTTTATCCATTCCATTTTGGCCTTTGGTATCATAGCTTGAAAAGCCCCAAAAAGTGTTCGGGGTCTTGGCTGCTCCCCCGCGGCGGCTTGGCGCCAAGCCCAAGGGGTGATCATGGTGAAAATCCCCGGACCCCTAATTCAGTTATCGAGCTACAAGTAATAAACGCTGGGAAAAAAAGAGGATTCAAAGATTGAGGTTGGAGTTGCGACAGCTGTATTATAGTGAGAATCGCAATTTCCCCCCGCAGTACCGCTACCCCTGCCAAGACTGGCTATCCGAGTATCTTTCTGGGTTTTGTGGGTTTGATGTGTTGGATGGACAGTGAATTGGGAGGTGGAGATACATGTTGGGATGGGCGGGATTGTATCATACGCATTCGATTCATTCCTCACTGCTCGGTTCGGACGCCCGGGTCTGGTCGAGGAGAGTTTTCTTGGCGATCGGGTTGTGGGTTTTGTTTTTTCTTTTCTTTTGCATCTTGTGGGTAAGAGGAGGGGTGAAGCTTTCTTTTTCCTTCTTCCCTAGACTACCGGTACTTGTCTCGAAGCATGTGAAGAGTCTGTCCCACCAATCCTCTCTTCCCGGGTGTGATGTCGGCGGGGGGGGGGAATATTAGAATCATCAAAACAACACTTGGAAACGAAGAAATCCATTTGCATGTGAAGGCGAGCTTTCACCTTCGCGGACGGTTCGAGTGAGCACTCATGATATCTGAGATTTGCAGCCTTCTGTCAGATAAATTCTCCGAAGCATGAATTTGAGAGGGGGGGGACGACACCTGTCAGTCGGGGCTCTTCCACCTTGCGGTAAAGTACAAGTACTGTATACTCGTATGCGTATTTTCTGCATGGGACAATGGCTTCCTGTGTCGACTGGAGGGGTATATGGGTGATTATGGCAATTGCCGGTACCAACATTCTATGCTCTATGCTCCGTGATTCGCTGGGCTCTTGGCACAGGGAAATCCGTCATACGAGTCGACCGGGCAGACTATCTGGGGGGGGCGTGGAGGGTGCAGGGAACGCTATTTTGTTAGGTGCGGGACTTGTTCAAGGGTTTTCTGGGGGGATGGGGTGATTTTGCGCCTGCCAGACCATTGCGGATGTGGATATTCAGATGTGAGGCTTCCCGATGGAGGAATGCATTGAATTCCTGTGGGTCAGGGCTGGGTCGCTGTTAATGAACTAGCGTGTTGCGTTCGAGATGTGAGATTGTAGGCGATTGTGGGAAGCAACTTGCCTTCCGAAATCTGACGGGGTTTCCCCGAGTATCTCGAGTGGTGAGATTCTATCCATGAGTAGACCTGGCTAGCTGGTATCTATTGCAGCAGTCTTCGCCGATCCCCGGATTGAAAAGGGGATTCCTCCCGCCACAATCCAGGCGGGGGCGGACATGGGTTCAGACTTCACCGACCACATCTCTGCTGCTGGCTCTTCGCAGCCTCTCCGCCTTAGCTCTGGAGCCCAACCGCCCCCTCGATATGCCAGAAAATTCTTGACTCTATCCTACTTTTTCATCACTTCGGTGAACTATATATCTCTTGGGTAGCTAAAGAGCGATAGGGAAACCCGGGAAGACCAAACGAATAATGCTCAGAAACAAAATGTTGATAGGATGCTTGAATTGTACTTTTGAAATTGTGGTTGCGATTGAGGGTGAGGAGAGGAGAGGGGAGTGTGGGACTGACAAGACCCGAATTTAATATTATTATACCTTATTCAGAGCCCCCACTTATCGATTCTCTATTTACTATCCATTAAACAAAACATCCGGAATTAATTTCTACGACACCGCATATGAAAACACCACGGCCACTTGGCTCGTTGAAACCAAAAGTATCCATGGAACTGCAATATGCCTACTTTTCATACAGTAAACCAAGTTCAGCGACAGGGCGGCGCAGCGCAATCAAGCCATACCGCCAAAGGGCTTGCTCTAGACCCCAATAGTCAGCGGATCACGGGTGTGTATGATATAAAGAGGAATCACTCACTGATCCTTATTGAAACTTAAGACTAGTACATACTTCAGTGCCAACAAGATTGACCAAAATATGTGAGAAAGTCGTGCCAATGGGAAATCAATGGCTGGTGATGCTATTACCTTATGCTAAAGGGGCTTTTTCCCGGTACTCAAGTGGTGCAACTTCCCCAGCGACGCCCATCCCCGGGTCCCGGGAGTATTTTCATCGGGAGGGAACAACCAGAATGACCTTTCTACTCTTCATAAGTTTGTGTGATAGAAAGTCACCTGATTATCTCTAGAGCTGCCATGCTGTATGTTTTCCAGAAAAGTACCCGTAACGCCGTTTGTGTAGCCGGAGCTATATTTTTTTCCTCTTAACAACACGGCAAGCATTTCTTTAACACCCCAATTCGCACTGCACAACTGACCCTCTTAGTTATCGGTATTAAAGCCCTATGTTAAGCTCACTGCTTAAAAATATACCCTCTACATAAACTAATAAAAGACATCCTGCCGGCCATTGCTTTTATTGGGATGGGGAAAGCCTTTGTGCGAAAGGTTTTGAAGCAATTTTTCCCAATCCTCTTGCATTCGCAGGTCCAGTTCGAGTGGGAATCACTGGGAAGGAATCCCGGCGGGGAACCTGGGGGTGCCGTGGCGGCCCACGAGTGACGACCTCCTCCAAACGGGCGCATCAAGCAAGACCTTCCAAGGTAGACACCCCGTTGGCAGCAAGCCATATATCTCCAGATGCATAACACGCCTCGGGAACCTCTGACGGGACAAAACCCTGCTGGCCAAATAAACTCTCCTGCCATGTCCGGAGCAGGGTTCAGGATTTCCCCGTTACATTTAACGGGTGTATCTTTGCCAATCCATTCGAGGCCATGGATAGCCGACAGTCAGCTGCGGTGCTGTCGGGGCAAGAACCATTGGTTGTAGTTTGGGATTTTCTCTGTAGCGAGTGATTTTTCATGAAGCCACGGATGCTCTCGGAGATGGAGTGGGTAGCGGGGAGATGACAACTCGCCACTAACCCAAGCTCCCTCACCCAATAATTTAACGAATTTTGGTATACATAATCGCCCTATTGCGCTTTCTTCCCCAAGCGAATTGGGAGGGTAGGATAGTTCAAGGGGATTAGTATTTTCTTGGTGCATGATTCGTCTACCCACTGGCCATGTTTTCCGCTAGCCATGTTTTTATTCTTTCTTTCAAGATTATCAGGGTGAGAACACAGATTGCCGGAGTTACTGGGCTGGTATATTGCTTCTCTGCACCGGGCATGTCCATGGTTTTCCCAGGAGTTTTGCTGGAAAAAGGCCGTCAGTATTTCATCGTTATTCGGTTTCTCAGATATAACCCAAATATAACTAGACAATTGCTCATCCCTAACACTGCGAGCAGTTTTTCCTTTTTTCAACCCCCCATCACTGCACTAACTGCAAAGTACAGAACCCAGCCCAGTCCGCATCGGACAAGGGGACATTCAAAACAGACTATATCGATGGCGAATCATGGCGAGAAACTCCACTTGAAATCTCGCTTGAAACCCTTTCTATTTAGCAGCATCTCGTCTCCAATCCGACATCCAAACGACGTCGTCCTTTCAGCCCTATAAAACTAACCATAACACCCCAACCACACAATATCTACTCTCTGCAACACGGCTGTCGGACAAGATCATTTCGCAATCAGACACAAACCCCAGAAAGACCAGATACCAAACGCAGCGACAACACCATGGCCCGATCAGATATCGAAAACGCTACCTCAATTCGCCAATTCCCCGCGACCACGCAATATCCTCTCTCGGGAATTGAGATACCGGAGCCCCAAACTCGCGGCAACAACGGCCTCGGCCGCTATTGGCAATGCTGCAATTGCAAGTCCCAGAATTTCAGGGGCAATTCGGAATGCACCCATTGTTATAAGATAAGGTGTGGCAGTTGTACTGATATTAGATAATGTACTGACTATCCTGCACTTTTCTCGGGAGTCGTGCTTGTTCTGCAGGAGGAAGAGAAGGGGGATGGTAGGATGGGCACACTCTCCGAGTGTTTTTTTTTTCCCATTTGATCTATAGTTTTATCAATCCTGTATCCGCGATCACTTTTATGGTTGGAAAGAGTTGACAAGCCCCCAGCTATCCAAATTGAAACCCGCAGCTGAGGGCAATATTATGAGCTCGATGTATCATGCATCTAGAAAAAAACGAAAAATAACCAAAATTAAGTATCCCCGCAAAAGTGACATGCAAAACTAGTACTCAACAGACCCAAGAAAGGTTTGGTAGTGGGAGGAACAAAAATTAAGGTCTGCTATCCTTCCTGCAAATGTCAGTAGTGGGCCGTCCCTGTAACCGTTATTACCGTGATCCGGGAGCGCTAGAAAGCACTTTAAACAAAATAATAAACTGTGCTATGGAAAGGTACTCTTCTCATAATCCACGATTCTCCCGGTGCTTTCGGGTTTGGCGCTTCATGTCTCCATGCATGGGGTCCGGGATGGGGATGCTTTTCAGACGAATATCCGGAAAAGGAAACTTGGCAATGGTCAAACCCTTTTTTCTTCCGTGATGCAAGAAGAAAATATCGAGGAAAGTCGTCGGAAGCGTTATTGCCCTGGTAGCGGGGATTGACTCACTTAGACTTTGTCCTAACTTCTAAGACCTCCCCTTCAAATACATGCAACACATATTTGGATTATGGAACTAGAGGCGGGAGGTTTGATAGAAAATTCTTTGAACCTGTCCGATCACTTCGGTTCAATTTCCTGATACGAAAACTAAAGCGTACTAGCAGTGATCAGTATTTATAAGCAATGGAGGCAAAAGCGAAGTTAATTCTATTTGGCAGCATCTATATCTCACCTGCCAGCCACAGCCACCATCATGCCAGATGTCACCCACCACCTCTAATATAAATATCAGGGCACTAACCCAGCTTGATACCTAATAACAAGGAAGTGGTATGATATGTTAGATTTAGAAATAGTCTATAGAGCTTCATTTAGATTGTCCATAAGATCTCAACTATTGTATAATTGTACAACAGGCAACTGTTTGCAATTGTAACTTAAGAGGGGCAATTGGATATGTATATTGAGTAAGCTACATGATATTTAGAGGATATTACAGGCACGTATTGTCAGGAGTAGTATGGTTTGAAGATAGATTAGTTGAAGTTCTGTATTTTATTGCTTTTAAGTGAGGTGTGTAAGCAATAGCATATATATATACATAAGTACACCAACCTGTAGTAAAAGAAATATAATGGGGAAAAACATAAGTGCGAACATGTTTGATCCTGAAAACCTGCCAAGAAAAATCCCCAAAGTGCATAAAAATCTAAGATGGTATGCGGGAAATATTAAGGAAATATTATAAATCTAGTATGTAATAAAGATGTATTAATATGTAGGAAAGATAAAGAAAATCCCATTAATGCTGTAACAAGATAAGAAAATAATGTATAAGTTTCCTGTTCATATTCAATGCAATATTTATGAAATCAACATAATTAACATACATATGATCTGGTGTAGTAATGTCTACAGGGTATAGGTTTTAACTGAAACATAACAAAGTAAGTGAAAATATAATGCAAATTATTAAATAGATTGAAACATAACATTGGAAAGAAATTTCAAAAGCAATAACCTCATTATTCTT